AACTAACGAAGATGACGTAGTCCAAACGAAGCTAACTTTTGCTAAAACGCATTAAAATTTCAGAAGAAAGCCTCCGTTGGTTTTACCTAAATGCTATGTAAATTTTTTATAGTTATTGTGGCCTCAGTGCTACAGGAATTCTCAATCCATTCAAAAGATTGACAATTGTAGGGCATACCCCGAGTAAGTAGAGTCAAGAGACGCCACTGAAGGAGGCGTGTTGCATAAACTTGAGGGAAGACTGTACCCTGCCCACACTCCTAGAGGTGGGACAAGGGAACGTAATTAGCCAATAAAGTTTAAGACCATTTGAGTTAAAAAATTAAGTCTAACAACCATTGGTCAATTTAGTTTCCATCTCTAGAGAATCAGACGGCCATCGCAAGGGTTCGCAAAACTGGACGACCAATGAGGAAACAAGGATTGAACGACCAGCCTTCTGATGGAGGAAAAATCCGCAACTGACCTCCAATAATTTTGAAACTAAAAACTTCAGTTCTTCTCTTATCTTTGGTTTGTGAGTTTGGAAAAGTTGCTTAGATTTTTGCTCAGTAAGTGGCTATTAATAAGTGTTGTGTTGGTAAATGTGTGTCAACTTGTGTCCACTTTGAGTTATTTCTATCTAAATTTAATATAACGATGAGTTAACTGAGAATTCTACACATTATATAGCATTGTTTAACATGAGGTTCTTAAATTTATTGATTTTTGCTATTAAATTCAAAATTAAAAATATTTTAAATTGAGTTGTGTCCGTTACCTTTAACTTAATCCAGTGATCCTTTCCCCAGCCTATTTGTTTTAAAAGCTTACGTTCATTTGTCATCGCTACTTCAGTTTTCATGGGTGCTTATATATTCTATTACCAATAAAAATTAGTCTCCTCTCATTTGGCTTTCATTAAATTCATCAACCGAACCTAACTGAGCTCGACGTTTCCGAAAGTATTCATTTGGCCGTTCACCACGTTCTCTGGATTACTTGAACAACAGAAAAGGTAACATTCTGAGCAAAGTGAGTGTTTCAATGAGCTGTGATTCTATCACATTATGTCAGGTTTTAGGATCAATCAGATCAGATGTTACATTATTCTACGAGAAATTGGCATTTTAGCTCGGTTATGTTCCATCCTAGTCTAGGTGCTTGTTGGACGATAAAGGTTTGTTACTGATCATACTTGGAACACCCTGGTTTTAATAACGGGCAAGGTCCAAGGTATGATTGGATAGAAAGTTAAATACGCTCCACAATACTTTACCGCGACATCTACAGTACTATTATTATTTCCGTTCAAACCAAGTCTCACCTCGACTCGTATGGAAAATTTCTGTTGTCATATATTCAAAATAAGATATGCAATTGCGTCTATTCTGGAAGAATGTCACCTCTCCTTACACATATGACACTCCTCCTGAGAGAGGTAATTTAAATATGCAAGTATAATGTTCACCTGCCAAGGGAATACTTGCTTGAATGAGCATGATATATCCGTCACACGATTTCAGCGGAGATGAGGACTATGTCTGAACACGGCTCTCGCATCACTGAAGGAAAGAAAAGAGAAAACTTATAGCAGTGTGTTCGAAGCATGTATCTATATTTATGCTAACTTGTAAGATACGTAGGTATACTAACCGTACGTTTCTTTTCTTTGTAATATATTTTGAAAAATAACACTCTGGGATCCTACGATACACGAAATATCCATAACGTATTGACTGATGCAAGTTAGTGAGGAACACATGGAACTTTGGGTATCCTAACAAGGTGAGAAGTATGTTTTGATGTTGCTTTGAAGCTCCAAAGTATTGAAGAAAAGCCAGCCGAATTAGATGCAAATTCCTTAGGGTGATGAATAGGTACAGAAGAGTTCAAAGCTGTGTCCGACAAGATATTGGCAGACGCGATTATGGCGAATTGATGATGCCCGGATGCGTCCACCATGTATAGACACAAATTTGTGAATGCCGTTCTTCTACTCCATATTTAATGGGTATGCGCACACAAAACACAAAAGACTGAAAAAATGGGAGCTGCACGTTAAACGATGGCAACATCGTTGACGATTGTCGGATGGTTACCTAGAGGGCTGGAGGAACTATCGAAAGAGTGCCGAGAATGCGCCTGGAATAAGGAATGCCAGGAATGTGCCGAGGATTTCTTTGTGCATAATTTGTGAAAATGATATTTCCTATATTGAAGGATTATTTCATGAACATATTCATAAAATATCCCCAATACGGGTAATATCTATTTCAGTAGTTTTGCTGAGAACAAGCTTTAGAATAATAAACTCTAATAAATTGTATTACAAAATCATGTTGTTTTGTGTTGCACAGAATAGGTGTCTCACTTCATTACATTGATTTTAAGACCATAGAGAAAACACTAATGAAATTTATATATTCTGTAATTTGTTGGCCTAAATGGGCAGAGTTTTGCTTTGTAAAGCTTTATGACTGTACTCTGGCCAATGTTACCGGGTGTTATTTAAGACAAAAGAAAAAGATTTCGTACTTTATACAGGTATAACGGTGTCAACTACAAGGATTATAAAGAGACTGATTCCAGATATAACTATCCCATGTAATTTTAAATAATCTACCAACTAGGTACATCACGCCGCTATGTTAAAATCACCAACCGGTAGCAGTTGAGAGTCTCCCCACAATATTTAGTCAAAATACACCTACACCTCACGTATACGATCACAGCTACTGATAGTGTTGCTTAATATTATACCCATTTTTGAGGAAATATCTTCGGAAGCATCAGAGTTGATAATCTGGATGTTAACCAAAACTAAAGCCATATTTGATATTTTACATTTAGATAAAGATAGAGAATTCGCGGTGATGGTGATACAGTTTCCTCGATTTCGCCTGGAGAGGATGACCTTGACGTTGCCAGGTCACCCATAACACGTTTCACCCCCTGCCCACGTTCAAGGCCACGGTTTGATTCCGGGCCGAATGCCTATAAATCTGATATATCTTGAAGAATACATATCCAGGGTGCTCCTTAATGATATGCGAATATTTAAGGGTGTGAATCTACATGAAAAGTTAGTTTGCTTTATAAACTATGGTCCAGGATTGTTTCCTTACAAAAACTCAGGGTGTTGAAGTTTTAGGGAAAAAATGGACATTAATTAGTATTTTCAGATCCGTTTCAGATATTTCACTGATATTTAGTACGTAGTGAAAGTTAATAAAGCTACATATTTTTCAATGCAAAAACTAACATTAATTTTTCATGTAGATCCACACCCTTAAATATTCGCATATCATTATATATATATGCATAAGTAACCCCCCGATTTTCCCCAATGGCAAAGTTGGCCGCCGGATTTCATTCGGTCTGTCTCTCTGTCTGTCTGCTACTCCTTGGTTTGTCTATGAATTGGAAGGTATGGCTCGGATTTGTTTTGTAATTTTTGAAAGTTGCTCCAGTAGCGGCGAAGCTACCGGGTAAAAAATGGAAAAAAGTCGCTCCAACGTTGTTTTTTGACGTTTCAGAAGCTCCTGATAAAAATATTGTAGGGGTAAAAAATTTGGGGTTTGGGGGCTATAGGGAGTGAGGAAGGCTATATTTTTTCCAGACATTATATCAATACTTCTTCAGCTCTGGTAATTCTACACACATATTACCTATTTCACAAATCAAAAAGTTCCCCAAAAATTTGCTTTTAAAACTCTGCGCCCGCCCGTTCACCGCAAGCCGTTATGGCTACCTTATCGCGTACCTCACCAGTGTAGCTGAACAACGTTGCCAGATGGTCGATACTGTCGATAGAACAAGGAACAAACTAGATCGCATCGTTGTTAAATGGGTGGGAACTGTGACCTGATTTTATGGGCCCATCTGGCTGATTTGATCTATTTGATTTCTTGTAATACATGTTGGATGCTTTTTAGTCAGAGGGGTTAACTTGTGCCGAGCATAATCCTTTATGAACTAATGACAACCTAAGGTGAGAAATGGGGAGTCAGCCTACTTGACGCCATTTTTTGTGCAGTGAATAAAGTGTCGATGTCACTGAAGGTTGAAGATGATAGCATTAAAAACATATGTAATATAAATGTGTCCCTGTTTTGGCTTCATCAGGTATTTTTCAACCCAACAGAATTTGTTGCTCTCAGAATTAATTCCGGAAAATCCAGGAAAAAGGCAATAAGCTGGGAACAGATCCTGGGGGTCAGCAGGATGCAACTTCTAGCTGTCCCAATATTGGCGAGAGTCAAGGTGCCCCGTGAAGAGGTTCGGCAATAGCGCGACCGTGTGAGTGCGTGTCGAGTGCAAAGTGCGACGGAGGGCAGGTAGTAAGACCCTGAGGACGGGTTGCGATGGAGACGGGCATGAGCATAGGGAGAAAGAGGGCGGATATCGTCGCTCCACCCGACGGACGTACGAACATTGTGACTGCTATGCTATTTTTATTTCGAATTGTATAGTGTGACTTGTAAATCGGCCTCTATTTTAGAAAATAAAGTGATATCGTTGTAACACCGTCTTCGTCCCATTAACCTGAGAGAGCTAGCTCGGGAACTATTTCATTTTGGCGCCCAACGTGGGGCCGGTGTTCTACGTTATTCATTATTCAGTGGAGGCGAGTGGAGAGCTTCTTCGCGGCGGCGTGCAGCACCACGTCTGGCAGAGCTGCAACTACGAAGGAAACAGGATACTCTGGTGAGATCTGTCCTTATTATTATTGAGCAGTCCATGTGGAACCAGGATTTTGTAATAAATCAACTACGTTGCTGAGTAGCTGATCTAGCGTCGAAATCAAGTCGGCGACTAGCCATCGGGAACTTTTGCATATTTTGAAGAAAATCATAGTCTGGAGTTGTGTGGAATATTTTCGCCGAATTTTCTCGTATACTTTTATGTTTTCTTGTTGTCCTGTTTAACAACATATTTTTCGGTGTACTGAGTTTGTATGGTTAATGTATCGCCAATGTAATTAATGTACATGAATATTGATTTAGTTTAGTTCTGTAATGTCTAAGAAATCGGGGGCTCAGAAAAACAAATCTACCGAGGTGCTGGATGATTTTTCAGGGAATATGGATTCTGAACTAAATAGTGTTTTATCACAGCTAGCGGCTGGCATGATAGGATTACAAAAATCCTTTGAGGGCTTATCTATGATTGTGAAAGGGGGGTCAGACAAAAAAGATGTTTGTAGCGAGAGTAAGGCGCCAGATCACAACTTTATTTATATATGGAACGAATTGGGGGGTAATGACGTTGTTTTCAGCCCGGAGGGTAGGAAACACCCACAGGCTTATATAAAAAAGTTAAAGAAATTATTTTTGGATGCTGGTGTTCCGGATAGCCACAAGATCGGACTTGCTGTTTCTTGTTTGCGGGGTACAGCGGTGGATTGGGCAGCAATGAAAGAGGATACTTGGCTATAGTTTGAGGATTTTGAGGGGGTCTTCCTTGATCGATATTGGGGAATAGCAAAGCAGAGGGAATTATTTTTAAATTTGAGTTATGGAAGGCACGAACGCGGTGGTCTTTCGGATTACTTTATGAATCTTGTTAATCAAGCTAACTTTCTCTCGGAACGTATACCAGAAGAAACATTAACTAAAATTCTAAGTAAACATTTTTCATTAGAGATTCAACGTGGCATAGTAACCATGGGTTTAAAAACAGTAGATGAGATAGATGCATATCTCAGAGAAGTCGATGAGGTTCAGAATGAAGCGACTTTGGGGCGATACAGCAATGCTCGCGATAATCGCGAAAGCGGGAACGCAAGGATGCGTTAGGGAAATGTTGCGCCTGGACGTGGCAACAGTGCGCGAGGCGTTGGCGGCGGGCCGTATCGGCAAGATTGGCGATCGCATCCACCTGCACAATCTAGCGGTGTTGAAGACGACGCGGGAAACGTTGTTAGGAATATTGTGGCCATCAATGCTCCATTTTGCGACGATGCCAGCTCTCTATTAAGTAGTGATTTAGAGTCAGAGGAAGATGTAGAGGAGCAGAAGTACAGATCTCCAGTTTTGCGGGCTACAGTAGGTTCGGTCAAAGCGGACATAGTTGTCGATAGCAGTAGTGAGGTTTCCGCGGTCTCCGAAAAATTTTTAGAGAAAATAAAGCTGCAGGTAAAGATTCCGGTGTTGCCTGTGTCAACTTTAGCGATTTCTTCAGCTTTTGGTGCCAAGAAACAGCGCATCAAATTACAGATTCTGTTATCGGTTCGGCTGTTGGCGGACTGTAACATTGATTTAGATGTCAAGTGTTTGGTAATTCCGGGACTTAACTGTGACATTCTTTTTGGATGCGATTGGTTGTCGTCCGCCAAGGCAAGTGTCGATTTTGAAAATTTAAAAATTACTTTTTCCTGCAACCCAGAGGTTTGCACCATTCCTTTTTATAAAGAGGTGAGTACGGGGGGTGACTTAAATGTACACCTATGTGGTAGGTTAGATAATGTCGTGGAAGTAGATAAAAATGAGGAGTTAACGTTTCATAGATACTCTGAAGCAGAAATTAAAGTGGCAGCCGGCAGGGCTGAAACGGATGAAGCTTCGCGGAAGAAGCTAGAAAACTTACTTTTTAAATATGGGAAAGTGTTTTCTGAGCATCCAGGATGCGTCGAGTCTTATGTTCATAAAGTGGAAATGAAAGACGATTCTCCATTTAATGCACCTACGTACCCGATACCGTTCATTCATCGTAATGAAGTTGATAGACAAGTAAGAGAGATGGAGAGATGGGGGGTGATCAAAAGCAAAAAACGAGCTATATATCCCCATTAGTGGTAGTTAAGAAGCGAGATGGGTCACCGAGAATTTGCATAGATGCCAGACTTCTCAATTCTCGGATGAGAAAGGACTTCATCCCTCCTCCAAATCCCGCAGAGTTACTTCTGAATTTTAGGAAGGGCGTTGTACTTAGCACAATCGACCTCACGGCCTCATATTGGCAGATAAGAAAACATGAGGAGGACAGAAAGTATGTCGGTTTTATTCACGGGGGCGAGACCTACGTCTTCCAAAGGCTTCCTTTTGGGTTGTCCACATCAATGGCTTCCCTTATACGATGTTTGTGTCAGGTTCTGGGACCAACCTGTCGCTCTTTCACAGTGATATATGTTGATGATCTGCTGGTGTTCTCGGATGGAATCGAGGAACACCTAGAGCACTTGAAGATTTTGTTCGAAAAATTGTTAGCAGAGGGTGTAATGTCTTAGTTGGTATCAATAATACCCGGAAGTATACTAATGGTTTATTATATATCACCGATAACTGTTACAAATACGGAACCCCGACATACTGTGTGTTAAGCGTATCCCGGTGAGAGTACTCATCGTACATGCGCAATTTTCGGGGAACCAGGGGCGTACTTAATATACTACATTCATCTCCCCCGAAAATTGTTAACAGTGATCAGATGGGTAACAATAAAAAAAAGAAACAATTAATGAATGGTTAGTATTGGAGCCTATCCGGTACCTTACGGATACGTATGGGTCGTGTAAGTTCAGCCTGTTCACCAATGGAGCTAGAATCCGAGTCACTGACATCCACGCGTTCACTATCCGCGATTCCGGCATCCACAAACACATCATCAACCAAACTACCGGCAGAAGTATTGCTGGCGCCGTCACTATTGGAAAAAACGTTTACAGTGTGCGGTAGCTCCACGCAGGGTGGGTAGACCAACGAATAATCATCATTTAGTTCTCTGATCTGATTAGTATGTCTTTTCCAAAGGAAATTTGAATCTAGTGGTCGAACAACGTAAACGTTTTTCCCTAAAATTTTAACAACTTGTCCTTTACACCAAGTTACTTGTTTATCGCGATAATCTTTAACCAACACAATTTGGTCAATATTAAAACATACTTTCCTATTTCCTCTGAAGTATTTTGCGTTTCTTCGTTGAGAACGTTGTATGTTTTGGTAAACATTTTCAAGTTCATCTTTTTCATTGTCTTGGACTGAGCTTGGTCTAAGCATGTCAAATCGAGTTCTCAACGAACGACCTAAAAATACTTTAGCAGGAGAATAACCAGTAGAACAGTGAACAGTATTCCTATATGTCATAAGGAATTGAGCTAATAGTAAATTACAGTTCTTTTGATCACTAACCTTTTTCAAAAAATTTTTAACAGTTTTTACGCTATTCTCAGCTGCACCATTACAATGAGGTTCATAAGGCGGAATAGTTATTAGTTTAATACCATTAACATTTGCAAATTGTTTAAATTCTTCTGACACTAACTGGGGACCATTATCACTTGCAATAGTCTTAGGCAATCCAAATCTAGAAAAAAGTTCTCGCAGCTTTGTAATAGTCATGTTAGTGGTAACAGATGCCATCGGAAATACTTCAAGCCATTTGGATAAGGCATCAACGACAATCAAAAAGAAATTGTTTTTCTTCGGTTCAAAAAAATCTATATGTATCCGCGACCAAATGCCCTCGGGTATTTGCCAACATTGTAACGGTGCCTTGGCCGGCGATGATTGCAAGCGTTGACATATGTTGCACTGCTTACTAACACTTTCAATATCATCATTCAAGGACGGCCACCAAAAGTAAGATCTCGCAAGATACTTCATTTTAACAATTCCCAAATGGGTAGCATGCAACTCCTTCAATATCACCTCTCGTAACTGAAATGGTATGATAACTCGATGTCCCCAAAGCAGGACATCGTCTTCAACATTGATTTCATTTTTCCTACTGAAATAAGGTTTCAATTCATTACTTTTATGACTTGCAGGCCACCCCTTTTTAACAAAATTGAGTACCTCAGAAAGTACTGAATCTGAGGATGTAAGTTCTCTGACCTTGTTAACATCGACTGGTATACTAGAATCGGAATTAGTGAGATAATTTAAATGAATGGGGAAGTCGATCAGTTGCACAGACATGTCATCTTCAATCGGCATTCTGCTTAAGAAGTCAGCTACATTTTGAATGGATGACACATGCTTGATATCAAAATTGAAGCCACTCAGAAAATGTGCATATCTCTGCAGTCTATTTGCTGCCATCACTGGAACACCCGTTTTAGGTCCAAAAATTGACATGAGTGCCTTATTATCTGTGACCAAGGTAAATTTTCTACCCCACAAATATTGGTAAAATCGTTTAATACTCCAAACAATCGCGGTAGCTTCTTTATCCAAAATAGAGTATGCCAATTCGTTTTTCGAGAGAGTTCTTGACGCATAACAAATTGGCTTTTCGACATCATTTTCAAAAACATGAGATAAAATTGCTCCCACTCCATAGTCCGAGCTATCAATAGTCAAAGTAACTGGTAGGTCAGGATTATAATGCACCAATACATCGTCAGAACATAATGCACGTTTAATATACTCAAATGAATCCTGACATGTTTTATCCCATGACCAACTTACATCTTTTTTCAAAAGATTATATAAAGGGTGAAGTATATCTGGGAGATTTCTGATGAAACGATTATAATAAGTGATACTGCCTAAAAAAGACTTAAGTTGAGTGACATTTTCTGGTGGAGAAATGTCGCGTATTGCCTTAACTCTTTCTAAACTTTTATGTAGGCCTGTCTCGTCTATAACAAACCCTAAATATGAAATGGAATCAGCCAAAAACACACACTTTTCTTTTCTAACAGTGAGACCACATTCGGAAAGACAAAGTAAAACCCTTTTCAAATTTCTAATATGATCTTCTTTATCGATACCTGTAACTAAAATATCATCAAGAAAAACACATACACGGGGCATTTTATTGAACAGCTGCTCCATAATTCTTTGAAATTGTGCTGGAGCGCAGTTTATTCCAAACGGCAATCTATTGAATTCGAATAAACCTTTGTGAGTCGAAATAGTCGTAAATTTTTTTGAAGAGTCCTCGAGCTCTATTTGATTGTAAGCCGATGAGAGATCAATTTTGGAAAATTGCTTTCCATTTTTCAGTTTTGTGAATAAGTCGTCAATTCTAGGCAAGGGAAATTTGTCCACTAGAATAGCTGAATTAATAGTTACCTTATAATCACAACAAATTCTTATTCCTCCATCTTCCTTCAAAATTGGTACTATTGGGGTACCCCATTCTGAAAACTCCACTGGAGATATTATACCATTAGAGACTAATTTATCTAATTCCTCCTCCACTTTACCTTTAATTGCAAATGGTAACGGTCTAGGTTTATGGAAAATGGGATTTGCATCAAGTTTAATATCTATGGAGATCTTACACTTGTTGAACCTTCCCAAATTGGTTGCAAAAACGCCAGGAAACTCATTACATAGAGCATCAACAGCATCGTTGTTCAAATAATGAATTTCTCTAAATCCCATATTATAATTCCTAATAAAATCTCGACCTAGGAGCAATGGATTATTACCATCAACAACAAAAAAGCGTAGGATGCTATCTTTGAAATAAAATTTAACATTTAAGTTGATTGTGCCATGTGGGATGATCTTATTGCCAGAAAAATTAATCAAGGAAACTTTTGTTTTTTTCATGACGTGAGCACCAAAATATGTTTTGTAAACATGAAGTGGCAAAACACTAACAGCTGATCCACTGTCAAGTTCAAATTTCAACATGACGTTCTCAACTAAAATATCGATATATAGTGGCACATCATTCTTGCTTCCTAAGCTAGAAATACTTAGAACTGTGGATGAAAGAACGTCTGTATAATCCTCAGCAATATCATTATTAGGAAAAACATAATTAACGTGCTTAGGTGAGGACTGTTTTTTCTTTTTACACACCACACTGAGATGACCCCTACCGTGACAAGAGTTACAAATATATTCCTTATAGGGGCATACATTACTGTTGTGGTTCCTCCCGCAGCGGAAACAGCCCGGAGAGCGACCAGACGATGTGAACTGCTGTAGCTGCGGCAGCGCCATGTTTGAGCTGTTGCCCCCACTCCTGCGCGTGCCTCCTTGGCTCCGCTGCGCTGCAGGTACTGCTGTCCCTCTATGATACCGTTGAGGATCTTGATGTTGATCGGCAGTGGCACCAACATTTGAATTATTTTGTGTAATTCGAAAAACATCGGATTCTAAGACCTCGCTTTTAACTTCACCAACTGGGTCTCTTATTACTAGCGTTGCTTCGATAATTTTGGCCTTTTCAACAGCGTTATTTAAGGTGGTGTTCTCGTTTAGGCTGAATAATTCAGTTCTCACCTTCCCAGGATTGAACTGCGTAACAAAAATGTCCGTTAGCTTGGACTCAAGCTGCTGACCAAAATTGCAATAGCGAGCTAAACCTTTAAGTCGTACACTCCATTCTAGTGCCGTCTCTTTTCCTGATTTGGATGCACTATAAAACTTCTGCCTTTCGACCCATACAACAGCAGTTTTACCATAGTAGTTAGACAATAACTGAACTATGTCTTGGTATGGGGTTTCTTCCGGCTTTTGCGGCATACATAAATTTTCTAATAAAATATACGCCTCCTCAGACAAACTATACAGCAAATGAGCTCTCTTGTCAGCTTCTTCAGTGACCCCGTGTACTATAAAATACTGCTCTAACCTTTTGAAGAAAACTTCCCACTCGTTCTCCTTGGGATTGAATGTGAGCACGGGACCCGCTGCTGCAACTGCCATCTTTCTTGTGCACAGATTGGTTCACCAACAACTGGAGGTTTCAACACAAACGGGGAGTTTACACACACTTAACCTCACCCGGCGAGTTCTTTAATAATCCTCGTCGCCATGTAATGTCTTAGTTGGTATCAATAATACCCGGAAGTATACTAATGGTTTATTATATATCACCGATAACTGTTACAAATACGGAACCCCGACATACTGTGTGTTAAGCGTATCCCGGTGAGAGTACTCATCGTACATGCGCAATTTTCGGGGAACCAGGGGCGTACTTAATATACTACAGAGGGCATTACCTTAAAGCTAAGGAAAAGCCAGTTTATCCGGAAAGACGTAATATTTTTAGGTCACGTCATCTCTAGCGATAGTGTCAGTATAGACCCTAGTCGTATTGAAGCGATTTCCAAGTTTCCTAAACCGCGAAATGTCAGGGAGCTCCGAGCGTATTTAGGACTTGTCAATTACGTAAAGCGTTTTTGTGATTCATATTCAGATTTAGCGCTCCCATTGGTGAAATTGTTAAGAAAACAAGAAGTTTGGATTTGGGGTTAAGAGCAAAAGGCGGCGTTGGAGGACGTGAAGCAGGCTTATCTCAAAGTGACGCTCATGATCCATCCGGATTTTAAAAAGACATTCTTTCTCCAATGCGATAGTTCGGACTATGCTACGGGGGGTTGCCTTTTTCAAAAAGCCGATACGGGGGAACGTCAAGTGATAGCCCATACGAGTAAAACATTAAAGGGTAGTCAGTTGCGATATACGACGACTGAAAAAGAGATGTTGGCCCTATTAAATTGCCTGGAACAGTGGTGTAGTATTTTGTTGGGAAGGGACATAACCATTTCAACATATCATAAAGCTCTTACATTTTTTCTGACATACAAGCTGCGCTCCGCGCGATTGTCTCGTTGGATACTCTACATTCAGGAATTTTCTTTCCAAATTGAGCACTGCCCGGGCGTACCAAACAGGATTGCTGACACTTTGAGTCGGTTTCCCCCTTATAAAGGTATCAGGCCTGCTCCGCCGCGGTCTGCTGACATAATCGTTATGCGGGTTAAGGTGATGGACGCGTTTAGTCAACTTAAGTCGAATTTCAGGAATTGGCGAGAAGAACAGCTCAGGGATAGGTGGACTGCCAACAAATTGTCATTTCTGGAAACTTTACCTTTCTCGGTACCTATATTATCCGAAAAAGAATACCAGATTACCAAATGGTATATAGTTCACAATGGGTTGTTGTATATCGGTCCTTACGTGGTTCTTCGGAAGGCTGGACCTAACTGTTATATTCTGAAGGACTCAGAAGGTAATGAAATGCCTAAGCAAAATGTCGTTAATCTCAAGGGACATAAGGAATTACCGCCGGATTTCCCGATGTAGCGGCCCGATGCGTATTTTCCTATAGAGGTTTTTCTTTTAAGTTCAAAGGATAAACTAGATTTCCTCACCTAGGAAGGGATGTTTTTCTGTAGTATTGTGATTTATTTTGCCCTTCTCATCTACTACTAGCTTTAGTTAGGTTAAGAGATTATTCTACTTAAATTTAGTCACAGGCGCTTAAACTTAATTGGGGGGTTGTGAAGAGGTTCGGCAACAGCGCGACCGTGTGAGTGCGTGTCGAGTGCAAAGTGTGACGGAGGGCAGGTAGTAAGACCCTGAGGATGGGTTGCGAGGGAGACGGGCATGAGCATCGGGAGAAAGAGGACGGATATCGTCGCTCCACCCGACGGACGTACGAACATTGTGACTGCTATGCTATTTTTATTTCGAATTGTATAGTGTGACTTGTAAATCGGCCTCTATTTTAGAAAATAAAGTGATATCGTTGTTACACCGTCTTCGTCCCATTAACCTGAGAGAGCTAGCTCGGGAACTATTTCACCCGCCAGGCCGAGATAGTATACCCGACAAGGATGCCTTCATCAGCCAGTTATCGGAGAACAATAAAAAGCAGCAGGAAATGATAGCAGTGCATACGAAGCTTATTGAAAAGATATGGCTGCAAATAGATGAGTTACAGAGACAAATAAATAAATTACTGAAGAAGAGTGAAACGTCAATATGACAGTGACAGCGAAGGTTCCATAGTTAACGAAATGGACATTGCAAACATGCAAGACGATAGCTTTAAAGTATCGAAAAAACGCAGATACAAGAAGAGCTCCAGCGAGTTTCCACCACTACCAAGTAAGCCCAGCCAGCTTCTTACTTCAGCTTCATCTCCTTTGCCTCAAACAAAATGTTTAACCACCCAAACTCTAACCTTGGCTACTGACTAGTCAAAATAAAAATGCAAAGCCAGGCTCTCCAGGTTCGAGAACTACACCTTCGAGACTACCTTCATCAAAGCGGGTCACGCCGATAGTACTTCGCGGTCCAGGGAGGTGAAAGTTTCTATCTCAATCATGTATTTCTCTGGGTATTAAAACTGAAAACGCTGTGGCTATCGATGTCGGAATTAGAATTACCCCTAAAACAGAGGATGTCTATAGAAAGCTTGTACGCTTTCTAAAAGAAAATAAAAATAGCACGCCATACGTGTAATCTAATATTTCCTGCGGTCGGCCAGATTTGTGGAGCTAATTGGTGAGATCCTTCCATCATCTAACAGTATTTTGCGGCCGTAATACAAAATTGACAATTGTTGACAAATTCATTCTGTCAAAGTTAACTTTATGAGAAATTGATATAAGCAGTGTTCATATGCAATATGACCAAAAAGAAGAAACATGAATACGAAAACGAAACTCTAGAACCAAATATTCAAATTAGCGTAAGTGAATTGAGTACCAAAGAAACTATTGTCAAAGAGAATTATTATCTTAAACAGCTTTTGGAAGAAAAGGAAAGATTTGTATATCAGTTGGTAAATGAAAACCGTAGACTACAGGAAGCATATGACTTAATTTCTGCCAACATAGTAGAGAAGGAATCCGTTGTATCTACTTTGGCTATTGTAACTGATCAACTAGAACAACTTGAGAAAAGAACGTCAGAAAATACATCATACTCACAAATTTTAAAGCAAAATACTCCTAAAATCAATAGCAACAACAAGAACAACAATGACATGAAATCCATATTACTCCCGAAAGGACCCAACATTATAATGACACCAGAAAAGACCTAACTAGTAACATTAATCTAGCAAGTATTGAAGTCAAGATAGAGAAAGTAAATAATTATAAAAACGGCGGCGTCGAAATTCAAGTTGAGCAATGTTATTACCAGAAACTCAAAAATGAACTAGAAACTAAGTTGAAGGGAAAATACAATATATCAGGAGCAAGAGAAATGAGACCGAAAATTAAGATCATAGGCTACAAAACTGAAAAAAAACCTTCAGAAGCAGAAATTAAAGAAGAAATCATATCCCAGAATACATTCATTAATGAAAACGAAATCGAAATCACTTTTGTACGACACATACCATTCCGAAATTCTTATACTATATTCGCTGAAGTTTTCTGGAGAGCTATATAGAGACATATTTATCAACAAGAAATCAAGAATACTACTAGGTTGGCAAAACTTATTTGTCTATGACAATAACCAGATATCGCAGTGTAGAAAATGCTTGAAGTTTGGTCACACAGACAAAAAATGTAGGGGCGCGGAAATGTGCATTAAATGTGGACAAGCACATAGAAGTGAAATTTGTACTGTAAACATTTTAAAATGTTCTAACTGTATGAACTATAACGTTAAGCATAATAAGAATAATGATGTTGGTCACTCGTCCACACACAAAAAATGCCCGTCGTATTTATATTTTCAAAAATAGTATTCATCCAGAATGATGTTTTGAGCGTTTAGTTCTCTTTACGTTTTTCGAGCTACATATCATTTGCAAAATTTTACATGGATAGTTACGTAAATAATTTTCCGGTTAATGATATCAATACAAATATTGCTCAAGACGCAAACGCTCTTAATAAATGGTTAGAATATTCTAATTTCAATGTTAGCTTATATCACATGAATATAAGAAGCCTAAACCAAAATTTTGACTGATTTAATATCTTCCTAACTACAATTAAACACAAATTTGATATAATAATATTAACAGAAACTTGGAAAATTAATGATGTATCTTTGTTCTGTTTGGAAGGTTATGATACGCTTTACAATAATGGTACGTACAACCAGAATGATGGGGTGGTAGTATATGTAAGAAATGATATCAACCACACATGTGATTTTGTTAAATTTGATGACGGTATCACAGTGTTGGATTTGATATTGAGAATTAATAACAAAAGTGTAAAAGTCACATCTGTCTACCGACCACCATCATCAAACCCTTATACATTTGTAGAAAATCTTGAAAAATTTTTATTAAATAACAAAAATGCCAGTCACACCACATCATAATAGGAGATATGAATATTAATATACTCCAACATACCAAATTAGTAAACAAATACCTCACTGTAATGCAGAGCAATGGATTCATATCAAATATAAATTTACCAACAAGAGTAGTCAATAATAGTTCCAGTTCTTGCATTGATCATTGTTTCATCAAAAAATTTTCAAATTTCTTTCGGTACATACCGTTAATTGTTGAAAACCATATTACCGATCATTTACCCACTGTAATACTTATATCATCACCAGAAAAAAATAAAAGTAGATCGATCTCCAATAATGAAACAGTGAAATTTAGGTGTTTTGTCGATAATAAAAAACTACTTGCAAATATCAAATTGGAATCGTGGACAGCAGTGTACTGTGCAGCGAATGTTAATGATGCTGCAAACACACTCATTGAACGCATAAAATATTTAATTGAATGTAGTACAAACAGAGTTAAAATTAAACATTTTGACAGAAGCAGGAATCCCTGGATAACTAAAGGTTTGATAAAGTCTGCCAACAGAAAAGAGGAACTATACAAAATAATGAAAGCATCACCATGTGCAGATACCTCCCATAAATATAAAGAATATAAAAATATTTTTATCAATCTAGTTAGAGAAGCAAAACGCCAATTCTATCTAAAAAAATTACAAGATGCCAAATCTGATCCAAGAAAACTGTGGTCAGTTTTCGATCACTTAACTAACAAAGACGTTCAAGAAAAGCCAAATATTGATGAAATTAAGAATCGTGATGGAACAATATTAACAGATAAACGACAAATATCCGATGCATTCTTAAATTTTTTCACTAATGTTGGAGAAAATTTAGCATCCAGTATTAAAAAAATGGTTTCGAACGAAAAGTTCACAAAAACCCAACTTCCCAATTCATTCTTTTTAGAAAGCGTTAGTCCGATTGAAATACAAGAAGCTGTCCTATCACTTAAAACCAAAAAAGTCCTGGTGTAGATGGTATCAAAGCCGACCATTTAAAAATAATAGCCTACGACTTAGCCGAACCACTTTCTTACATCATTAATTGGTGTTTCCAATCTGGAATTTGTCCTGATGCATTTAAAACAACTGTTATTACTCCTGTTTATAAAAGCGGTGACAGAATGGAAACATCAAATTATAGACCCATATCAATACTATCGAATATAGCCAAAATTTTCGAAAAATTACTACAAAAAAGGATATTACAATTTTTGGACAAAAACAAAATTATATGTTCTGACCAATATGGATTTAGAAAAGGATAATCTACTACAGATGCAATTTTGGCTGCAATGGATGAAATTAACTCTAATGTCAACAAAAAGATATCTACTATTGGTATCTTTGTTGATCTAAAAAATGCCTTTGATACAGTTAACCATGTCAAGCTTCTGAAAGTTATGGAAAGATTGGGATTTAGGGGAGCGTCACAAATCCTTTTAAAAACTTACCTTTCAAGTCGGGCACAGACTGTCAAAATCACTAACACTTACAGTAAAAAAATGTACATCAAGAGTGTGGTGTGCCTCAAGGAACAGTACTAGGCCCACAATTATTTAGTCTCTACTTAAATGACTTATTCAAAATTAACAGTTCTGGAAAGATTATATGTTTTGCAGATGACACCCTCGTATTATATAAAGCTGATGACTGGAGCACACTGAAGCAAATAGCTGAAAAGGATTTTATAAGGATCATTGACTGGTTTTGATACTAAACTTTTAACAGTTAACTTCAAAAAAACAAAATTTATTGCATTTACATCCTATTCAAAATTTTTACCTACCTTCGAACAAATTTCCGTTAATTATCATGGCCAAAAGACCAAAATCGATAGAGTTAACACTTTGAAATATCTTGGAATATTTATAGACTCACATCTAAGGTGGGATAACCATATTAAATATGTTATCAAAAAAATTAGAAATGTTGCCTATAAACTCAAAATGCTTGCTAACATTCTTACAGAAAGTTATCTGCGAATCCTATACCATGCCTTAGTTGAAACCCATATAATATATGGCATCACAGCCTGGGGTGCCGCCTGCAAGACATATATTTCTGACCTCAATATAGCACAAAAAACTTTTGAAAGCCATTTTCCATAAGCCAAGATTATATCCAAGTATTGTAATAAAAAGAAAAAATCCTATAAACACGAGCATAACACACGATTTCGAATAGGCTCATCTAATATCCAAAGACCACACAAAACATTATTCAAAAAATCATTTAAATTCTTAGCAGCTAAACTATATAATGTAGTACCAAACGAAATAAAGATACTTAATTTTGGAAAACAATTTAGAAGAAAATTGAAAGACTGGGTTAGTAATGTGCAGCGAATGACTATACATAATTATAGAGAAAACTAAAACTACAAAATTCCAATTACATTAATACCTTTTAGATTTAACAATAATTGTTATACACATATATGATTGATTGTTAGTTATTAAGATATAAACCACACACAGGCGATGCCTTCTGTGGTTTTTTCATATTGATTTGCCCATTTTTTGTATTTTGGCGAATAAATATTATTATTATTATTATTATTATTATTATACATTTCCCCTCCCTGGTGGAGACCCATGCCTCCTATAGTTGTGGTACCGCCGCAGGTTGCAAAGTCTCATGACATTTTTAATGAGCGTGAACTCATGGGCTTGGCTATCTCTGCGGAGGTCCAACGAACTTCTGGACAAATGGGTCAGTGCCATCGTTGTCAGAGATATGGGCACTCCCAGTCATATTGTACGGCACCTCCCAGTTGCGTGAAGTGCGCCCAAGAGCACCTCGTGCATCTGTGTCCACTTGAAGATCACGATGCCAGAACCTGTGCAAATTGTGGCCAAAATCATCCAGCAAATAGCTTAGACTGTAAATTTGTCCTCCAGAAAAAGATATTGAACTTT